AGACCAGAAGCTTAGCAATTAATTGGATGCTTACCCACTCCTAGGGAGAGAAGCTATGTGTGGTACTGTTAGCTAGGCCTGAAGCCCGTAGTAGCCTCCCTGATAAGACCAATGGGAGAATATACATTGCTAATAATGTTGTAAGGAGTGGATGCACCCATGAAGGATCCTACTAAACATCTGTGTCTATGTCCATAGGCTCTTGTTACTGCTACCCACAGCATCTGGACTGGGCTGTGACTAGAGCAGCAATCAGCAACCAGTCTGATTGTTGGGTTTATGGATGCCTTTTCCTATCAAATGATAATAATATGCCTTGGCTTGGAATAGTCTGCCTTTACCCCTGCAGAATTGGAGTGATTGGTTCAGCAGCACTAATAATGCAACTCAGGTTCACTGGGGATTGCCTTCACTTGGAAGCCCAATCACCAACCTGATGGTCATCCAACTACATGTTCCATTATAGGCACTATCTGTTGTGCATATATCCCTGATAAAGAGAATATTGTTACAGATACTTTAAATCAATCATTTGTCAACTCAGATCTATGACATAAGTCAATCAGGTTTCTTTGACCCGTTTTCAGATTGTTTACACATCTTACCTAGTCACTGGAGTTATGTTTTGCTAAAAGGCATTATAATTGTAGTTAGCATCTGCTTTTTATGCTCTTGTGTGCACTGTGGATGAGGCCTGTATCCACAAGCCATGGCTATACATTATTGGCCTGTATAGTTCTTCCCCTCGTGCCCAGCTCAGGGACACTTATGCAAGATTGGCAGAAAGCTTGTATGAGCTTATGGACAGGGTGGATTCTAGTGTGATGTGTCCCCTACCATGTTACTTAAGGGGTGTATGTCCACTGCTTAAACCACAAAGGTTGGACAGTGAGCCAATACCATAGTGCCCAGCTGAGGTGCAGGTGTCCCTAAGAATCCAAACATCCCAGTGAATATCTGAGAACCTACCAAGGAAAACAGTCCCATCACACATATACATAGTAGGCAAAGAGCCAAAAAATTAACTTAAAAGTGGCTTAGAAATTGGAGTCAGGGCAGATCTCCAAAGCTGTCCTCTGCATCCAGGAATGCCTCTTATGTGAGTCCTAATAAACTCATTTATTCGCCAAACTAGGCTTGTCTGAGTCATGTTTTGATCTCTCAGTTCCTGCTGAGATTAGGAGAAGGTTATTTATTTAATATTTAGTTCTCCAACTTTGTTCTTTTTCAGTATCTTGTTGGCTATTCTGGGTATTTTGACTTTCTATTCTGAACTTTACAATCAATTTTTAGTATTCATAAAATAACTTGCTGGAATTTAATTGGGATTGTATTGAATCTATAAATCAAGTGAAGAACTAACGTCTTAAAAGTATGGAGTCTTACTACTTATCTTTTCATTTATTTTGATTTCCTCACATGAATTTTGTATGTTAGATTTTTATCTAAGTATTTCTCTTTTTTTGGTGCTTATGTAAATGGTATTGTGTTTTTAATTTCAAATTCAAATTGTTCATTTTGGTATATAGGAAAGTAAGTGACTTTTACACATTGACTTTATATCCTGCTACATTTCTATAATTGCCTATTTGTTCCAGGAGAATTTTTCCACCAATTTTTTAAGATTATTTATGTGAACAATCATGTCACCTGTGAACAAAGACAGTTTATGACTTCCTTTCCAACCTAAGTACCTTTTCTTGTCTTATGGCATTAGCTGAGATTTCCAGTACAGTTTTGATTAGGAGTGTTCAGTGGGGCACTAGTTATTTCCCATTAAATATGATGTTAGCTGTAGGCTTTTTTGTGGATATGCTTTATTAGGTAAGGAAGTTCCTCTCCATTCCTAGTTTGCTGAGAGTTTTTAAAAGCATCAATGAATATTTGATTTTGTCAAATGCTTCTCCTACAGCTATTAATATGAGTATATGATCTTTCCTTTTTGTTGTTGATGTGATGAATTATATTAATTGGTTTTCTAAGGTGAAACCAGCCTCACATATCAGGGATAAATTGTACTTGGTTTTGGTATATAATTCTTCTTATACTTGTTAGATTTGATTTGCTAATAATTATTTCAGTTTTATTTGAGAATTTTTGCATCTATCTTCAGGAGAAACTTGGTCTGTAATTTTTCTTTATTGTACTATTCTTGTTTGTTTTTGGTATTAGTGTGATGCTGGCCATACAGAATAAATAGGAAGTGTTTCCTCTGCTTATATTTTCTGGAAGAGATTGCAGAGAATTAGTAATCATTTCTTTTTATTTATTTATTTATTTATTTATTTTCTTTTTTTTTCTTTTTCTTTTTTTTTATTAATTTTTTATTGCATTTAAGGTTTTGGGGTACATGAGCAGAACATGCAAGACAGTTGCGTAGGTACACACATGGCAGTGTGTTTTGCTTCCTTTCTCCCCTTCACCCACATTTGGCATTTCTCCCCAGGCTATCCCTCCCCGCCTCCCCCTCCCACTGGCCCTCCCCTTTTCCCCCTAATAGACCCCAGTGTTTAGTACTCCCCTCCCTGTGTCCATGTGTTCTCATTTTTCATCACCCGCCTATGAGTGAGAATATGCGGTGTTTCATTTTCTGTTCTTGTGTCAGTTTGCTGAGAATGATGTTCTCCAGATTCATCCATGTCCCTACAAACGACACAAACTCATCATTTCTGATTGCTGCATAATATTCCATGGTGTATATGTGCCACATTTTTCCAATCCAGTCTATTATCAATGGGCATTTGGGTTGATTCCAGGTCTTTGCTATTGTAAACAGTGCTGCAATGAACATTCGTGTACATGTGTCCTTATAGTAGAACGATTTATAGTCTTTTGGATATATACCCAGTAATGGGATTGCTGGGTCAAATGGAATTTCTATTTCTAAGGCCTTGAGGAATCGCCACACTGTCTTCCACAATGGTTGAACTAATTTACACTCCCACCAACAGTGTAAAAGTGTTCCTTTTTCTCCACATCCTCTCCAGCATCTGTTGTCTCCAGATTTTTTAATGATCGCCATTCTAACTGGCATGAGGTGGTATCTCAATGTGGTTTTGATTTGCGTCTCTCTGATGACCAGTGACGATGAGCATTTTTTCATATGATTGTTGGCCTCACATATGTCTTCTTTCATAAAGTGTCTGTTCATATCCTTTGCCCACTTTTGAATGGGCTTGTTTGGTTTTTTCCTGTAAATCTGTTTGAGTTCTTTGTAAATTCTGGATATCAGCCCTTTGTCAGATGGGTAAACTGCAAAAATTTTTTCCCATTCTGTTTGTTGCCGATTCACTCTAGTGACTGTTTCTTTTGCCGTGCAGAAGCTGTGGATTTTAATTAGGTCCTATTTGTCTATTTTGGCTTTTGTTGCCAATGCTTTTGGTGTTTTGTTCATGAAGTCCTTGCCTACTCCTATGTCCTGGATAGTTTTGCCTAGATTTCCTTCTAGGGTTTTTATCGTGCCAGGTTAGTAATCATTTCTTCTTTAAGTCTTTGGTAGTATTCACCAGTGAAAATATCTGGGCTGGGTGTTTTTTCTTTTGGAAGGTTATTAATTGCTTACTCAATTTCTTTAATAGATACAGGCTTATTTATTTATTTATTTTTTGAGACGGAGTTTCGCTTTTGTTACCCAGGCTGGAGTGCAATGGCGCAATCTCGGCTTACCGCAACCTCCGCCTCCTGGGTTCAGGCAATTCTCTTGCCTCAGCCTCCTGAGTAGCTGGGATTACAGGCACACGCCACCATGCGCAGCTAATTTTTTGTATTTTTAGTAGAGATGGGGTTTCACCATGTTGACCAGGATGGTCTCGATCTCTTGACCTCAGGATCCACCCACCTTGGCCTCCCAAAGTGCTGGGACCACAGGCATGAGCCACCGTGCCTGGCCGATATAAGCTTATTTAGTTCATCCTTGTCTGAGTTTAGGTAGATTGTGTCTTAGAAGGATTAGTTTGTTTATACAAATTATCAAATTTGTTGGTGTAGAGTTTCTCACAGTGTTCTTTTACCATTCTTTTGATGTCCATGGTATCAATGATAATGGCCTTTCTTTTGTCTCTTACATTAGTAATTTTTGTCTTCTTTCTTTTTTCTTGGTTAGCTCGGTGAGAGAGGTTTGTCAATGTTCTTGGTCTTTTCAAAGAGCCTGTTTTTGGCTTTCTTGATTTCTCTCTTTCCTATTTTCAATTGCTTTGATTTCAGCACTAATTTTTATTATTTATTTTCTTCTGCTTTCTTTGGATTTAATTTTCCGTCATTTTTCAAGTTTTCTGAGGTTGAAGCTTACATGATCTGCTTTATGTTTCGATAGTAATCTTTTACCATAGGAGATTGCAGAATTTTTGTTAGTCTTACAATATTCTTACACAATGGCTGGACTTTTTACCATAGAATCTGTCTTAAGTGAAACAAAGATTAGCACCTTGGGCCAGTCCTTCAGGTAGTCCAGACAGATTAGAATAGACATGCATAGCACTTTGTGAATGGGGTTTGCTCTGCACTCTCTAGAACCAGAGACTGGATCTCACTTTGGGGATACAGGCTGTCATTTTCAAGACTGCTGGTGAGGTGGGGAGAGGTAGGCAAAGGTAATTAAAAACACCACAAAGCTTTCCTAATATTTTTAAGTTTTTTTTTCTTGTTTCAGTGTTTGCTTGGTTGCTGAAAAACTGAGTATTTTCTAAAGTTCTGATAAAGTTGATTTTGGCAGTTTCAGGCTGTTTTTGTCTTTTCAGTGGAGAGTCAGGAGCTTGAAGCTGCCTGTACCACTGTTTTCTCATGTTACTCGCTCATCCCTGGCCTCTGGATTTTTGATATATATTAGTCATGTTTCTCAAGAGGAAGAGAGCCAATAGTATATGTGTATACACAAGTGTTCATGTACACACACATATTTTCATATATATATATATATATATATATATATATATATATATGAAAGGAAATTTATTCAGGAGAATTGGTTCACATGATTACAAAGGAGAAGTCTCCAAGTAGGTTTTCTCCAAGGTGGGAAATGAGAAAACCTTGTAGTGTAGCTCAGTCCCAGCTCAAAAGCCTCAAGACCAAGGAAGCTGACAGTGTAGCTTCCAGTCTGAGGCAGGATGCTGGTGCAAGTCCTAGAGTCCAAAGGCTGGGATTTGATGTCTGAGAGTGGGAGGAGAAAAGACACTTACTTTAGAAGGGTGAGAGAAAGAGAGAGAGAGGAATCTAAGCAAGCTGAATGTCCCCCTTCTGAAAACTTTGTTCTAGCCTCATCCACAGCCCATTGGATGGGCCTCCTCTCCAAGTCCACTGACCCACATGTCAATTTCCCCTGGAAGCACCCTCATAGACACTCCTAGGACCCAATGCTTCACTGTCCATCTAGGCATCTCTCAATCCAGTCAAGTTGACACATGTGTTAACCATCACAGGCAGTGTAGTCTCTGTAGGGTTAAATGGAATTAGAGAGATGCACATGAGAGAATGCAGGACTGACTTGAGCTGTTTATAACCCGGACTGAGAGCCTAGAGAAAGACAGCCTGGTTTTCGAGAAACTCTTGATGAGGGAGATTTCAAGTTTTCCCATTACACAAAACTTTTAAGAGTTCTCAAACCTGATTAGTCTCAGGAGAGAAAAGCTGAACGTTTCTTTGGTGTTTCTTTCGCTGTATCCCTAGGGTTTCTCTGAACTAACTTAACTTAGTGAACAATATTCCTTAGGGATGCATTGCAGAGTGAAAGAAGGAGGGAAAGAGAAAGAGGGAAACAGTGGGGCATCCCATGGCATTATGATTTCTAGACTTCACTGAGAGTAAAGAAGCAGCAGCTTCCTCTGGGTCACAGAGCAATCTCAGCACTAATCAGTCAGGAGGCACCCTGGGTCGAGTCCTAAGGAGCCATTCAACTTTTCACTCCAGGGTATTTCTCTGGAGGTGAGTATTTTCCAGGAGTTCTGCTCTGTGAAGGAGAAACTAGGAGAGGCTCAGGATGGGAAGTTCTGGGCTTGCTTGTCCTGTAGGATGAGGACATCCAGATTCTAAAGAGTAATAGGCTCATTATCAAATCCTTCTTGCATAGCAGTAAGCACTTTCAACCATTCTGACTCAGTGCTTGAGGTAGGCACAGTTCCTTGCTATTGTCAGAACCAGAGTATCTCCTTTCTTTTCATCTGGTCCCATGTAAGCAGAGATTGTGGAGATCAGACTGATTTATTTCATCAAGTTGGTCCTTCCCAAATATTATTTTACAAGAGGTCTCAGAGAGAGGACTGAATGAACTTAGACTGGGCACTGTCTCAGTGAGGATAGAAGGGAGAGAAAGCAGCTGCCTTCAGCATTGGTGATAACTAAGTGTTCATTGGCTCTGATCATAGATTCAGCCTTTAATTGACAAATTCATTTAATTCATTCAAAAATAGTACTAGATCATGAGACACGATGAACAAGAATGACGATCTTCTTGCTTTAACAGTGCCTACAGTGTAATATGAGTGACATAATTTCAAGTGATGAAGGCTAAAAAGATAAGTAGATTATCTTTAGCAAGGAGATAGTGAGTGAAGGGTAGTATGTGTTTTTTCTTAGACAGAATGATGAAGACAATTTCCCTGAACTTGGACACTCGGGCAAGACCTGAAGGAAGCAAGGGATAAAGCCCAGAAATTCTAAGGTACTCAGGAAATTGGGTCCATTTTATGTTAGTAACAGCTGGCTCTTTAATTTCTGGTATGATTTTGGGAGAAAAAATGTGATGTATAAGGAACATTGACTTTGAGGAGATATCCCAAACTTTATAATAGAATGAGAGCATACCCTCTGTATTTAGAAGCTGGGCTGGACCTGGAGGTCACACTTGGTGGCTTTGGGCTCTCCTAGAGGCAAGGCATGTAGACCTAAAGCCTTTTATTTGTCAGTCTCAGTATGAGGTCAATGTGGGACAGACAGAGACTGAGGGTAAAAGTTCCTCCTATGCTTCATTCTGAATCTGACTTCTGTCACAGTCTGGTGACAGGAGTTGTTAGAGTCTTAGAAAGAGATGGCCAGGCTCAACTCAGCCCAGGTGCTCATTTGTCAGCCTTCTGTGAGAAGACATGTTCACTGAGGACAAAAGTAAGGGAGGGTTTCATTCCCAAGATAGGGAGGAAGAAAGGAGTAATCCATGCAGGGAACCAGCTGACCAGTAGATTAAGAGATACTCAGTCCTTGCCCTCGAGAATTTATAGAAACTCCTCAGGAGACTTCCCTCAGTTTCACCAACACACAACAGTGATGATGAAGGAAAAGCAGAAGTTTTAAAATAAACATTCTGTAAATGGAACCTACATTCAGATGAAACAAAGAAACCAAGTAACGAGCTCAGGGGTGTTGGCAGGAAAACTTTTGTATAGAACATGATACTGGAGCAGGAATTTACAGGATAGAAAATACTTGGCAGATGGAGTAGTTTAGGACTTCCAGATGGAAGGGAGTTAGTGGTGGAAAGGAACCCACTGTGGTCATGGAGGCTGACTGATGACTGTTTAGAGCAGAGTGGGAGGCAGGTGAACTGAGCATTGAGGGTGCAGTGGTGCCTGCTGGGTGGGAGACAGGCTCTCATGTTTATAATACAGCACTGGGGACGGATCATCTTCTTGGCCAGCTCAACTTTTCTCACACATTGTGCATATTTAGAAAAATTGCCACTGACCATATACAGGAATAGTAGAATATGAATGCTTACTATTCCAGTCATGTTGTGAAGTCTGTGGACAGGAGGGGAATTTCAAAACAGTTTCTACATCTGTTGGGATGGGAAGCCATATTAGCTTTCTTTTGTTTTCTAGATTTCAGAAGGGTAAAGCACTCAGAAGTAAATGTTGGGAAATTCCTCCAGTGCCACTGAATTTTTTCTCTTAGGATTCCCTGGCTCCCAAGAAGTACGTCGTATCCTTTTTGTGACTTTCTTCCTTTTGTATGCAGTGACGGTGATGGGAAACACAGTCATCATTATCACCGTCTGTGTTAATAAACATCTGCAGTCCCCCATGTATTTCTTCCTTGGCCACCTCTCTGTCCTGGAGGTCCTGATCATATCCACCGCTGTCCCTTGTATGCTCTGGGGGTTGCTGCTTCCAAACACTCAGAGCATATCTTTGGCTGCGTGTGCTGCACAGCTATATTTATACCTTTCTTTGGGTACTTCGGAGTTGGCATTACTTGGAGCAATGGCTGTGGACCGTTATGTGGCTGTGTGTAACCCTTTGAGGTACAACATCATTATGAACAGCAGCACCTGCATTTGGGTGGTAATTGTGTCATGGGTTTTTGGGTTTCTTTCTGAAATCTGGCCGGTCTATGCCACTTTTCAGCTTACTTTCTGCAAATCAAATGTGTTAGATCATTTTTACTGTGATCGAGGGCAGTTGCTCAAGGTATCCTGTGAGGATACTCTTTTAACAGAGTTTATTCTTTTTCTAATGGCCGTTTTCATTATCATTGGTCCTTTGATCGCTACAATCGTCTCCTACACCTACATCATCTCCACCATCCTCAAGATCCCATCAGCCTCTGGCCGGAGGAAAGCCTTCTCCACCTGTGCCTCCCACTTCACTTATGTTGTGATCGGCTTCGGCAGCTGCTTGTTTCTCTACGTGAAACCCAAGCAAACACAGGCAGCTGAGTATAACAGGGTAGCATCATTGCTGGTTTTAGTGGTGACCCCTTTTCTGAACCCTTTTATCTTCACCCTGAGGAATGACAAATTCATACAGGCCTTTGGAAATGTCTTGAAACGCTGCTATCAGCTCCTGAAAAGTTAAGTCTGTCCTGAGTTAAATCCATCCTCATGATGGGTTTGAGGAATCTGATAGTACTAACTGAATCCAAAATGATCATTCTCAGAATCAAACATCTCATGGTCTACAATGGGTATTTAAGCTATGACACAGCTTCAATTTATATTGAATTCTTTTTCCATGGAAGATCACATCATTATTTTTAGATAGAGGTATAAATTTATTAGCCCTCTGTAGTTGTAATGCATGTTGCAAAATGAATGTGAGAAGTGTAAACATCTGAAAGATGTTCAGTGTTTTAAACCTTGGACCTGATAATGAGGAAAACAAAAGAAGCATGATATATTTTCTTACATCTGACATACGTGTTTGATCTTATGTGCCGAGATTATCTTCCTCTATATTGCCATGTGGTTTCAAGGTGTCTGCTCATTGTTTAAACTCACTAGTACCTCTCTGAGTAATCTTAGGGCCAGCACAAGCTCCAAACTTTCCTTGTTGATTCCTGCTTGCAGTGTCCAATAGCAACAGTGCATTTCTTTGGGTTTTCCGACTGGCATTTGTGAGAGTGAACTCACTCCCCGACCCTAACTGCTTAGCGATCTTAAGACTGAATGTGTGCTCATACAGGCACATCTCAAACTGGTGGACCTTCTCAGGTGTGGATAGAAGATCTTAGAAAGAGGCATTTTATCTAATGTCACCCATATCATTATGCCAGCCTCAAATGAGGGAGGGAAATGGAGCTGTGTTTTGGGAGGTGATGTGATAAGGGATAGCTGGGCTTTCTGTGTCTTTGGGCTGAGGGTGGAGTGGAGAGAGGGCAGAGGGAATGGTAGCCTACAGCCCCTTTTCCTGCATCTCATGCATTCTTCAATCCTGAAATGGCACAATCGTCCTCAGAGCTCCCTTTGCTTTCCCACTTCCTGCTCAGTTTCTTCCTTAATTCCTTTTTGTGTGTCTCTTTCTGTGACTACCAAACTCATTTGTTTCTTTTCTCCCTTATTTTCTGACAAAATCCAGGTTTATCACCTGCCTTCTAGCTCTACACTGAACTCCCTTAATTCCTCTATCTCAGTTCCTGTATTGCCCCATCCTCTCCCTAGTTCCTGTCATACCCACTAGTTGCAATTAATATTTCTGTATTGCTTAACACACAGTTTTCTCTGCGTCATTACACAAATGATTACACAAGTCTGGTGGCAAGCCGAATGGACATTAAAAGATGACTACTTATATATTTTATGGGACTTTCATTCAGTTGCTATTATATGAGGGTTGGAAACACGAGGATGTTTTCTGTACCAGTAAAAATAAAGTGTATCTCCAAGATACACTGTTGGATAAGAAAAGCAAACAACAGAAAATGTTTATTTGTTATTTTTTTTAAAAAATAAGAACAAGGTACAACTTAGTTTATATGCATATTTATATGTAGTTGCATAAAGAAACATCTGGGAGGGAAACAAGGAAATGGGTTACCTTGGGGATGTGTTTTTGGAAATGGCATTTATGGGAATAGTCTGTGAAGGACACTGTTTATGGTACAGCTGTGCATGTTGCTTTCTCTTCTCCATCATAGTAATGTTGTACCATCTAAAAAATAAAAGACTTCATTCTGTTTCTAATTGCCAAGGAAAGTCTGCTTGTTTATCCACATAATTGATTGTAACAAAGGAGATATTTTGGCAGAAGGGTCTTTATGAACTCTGAATATTTTGTAAAGTTTCTCTGGAGCTAAGTAGGGAAAATGGAAGAATAATAAGGGAGCATAGATGGGGCTTCATATTTTTCTTATCCTGAGGTCTTCATTACTTTTATAATAATATAGAGATATTCTTTAGACATTTTGAGTATTGCTTTATAAATACCTTTTTTCAATCTGTTTTTTGACTTTTTAGTTTTTAATGAAATCTTGTCATGTAAAAGTATTAATTTTCCTTTTGTCAAATTAATAATTTCTTTTGTGATTTGTATGTGCGTATATTGTTAACAATTTTTTTATTCAAAAGATTCAAAAATTGTCTTTTGAAATATCTAGGCCCAGCTGCAGTGGCTCACACCCATAATCCCAGCATTTTGGAGGCCGAGATAGGCAGGTCACTTGAGGTCAGGAGTTTGAGACCAGCATGGCCAACATGGTGAAACCCTGTCTCTCTTAAAAATTTTTAAAAATTAGCCGAGCATGGTGGCATGTGGCTATAATCCCAGCTACTGAGGAGGCTGAGGTAAGAGAATCATTTGAGCCAAGATCACACCACTGCATTACAGCCTGAGTGACAGAGTTAGACTCTGTCTTAAAAAAAAAATCTCTGTAGTTTGACAATGTAGATACAGTAGAACATTTTTTTTTAAAAAAAGAGAAAATGAGGAGAGCATATGCAAATATTTTTAAAACATTTTCAGTAATTACATTTGTGGATATAGTATTAGCATTTTATAATTGTTGCATGTGTGATGTGAGATAAAGCAAATGATTACTTATTGAATATCCCAATTTCAAATATAATATAGAGGAGGTTAGGGAAAGTGATTAGAGTCTTCTATTTAAATTATATATATACATGATGGACTCATGGTCTATCTATCTATCTATCTATCTATCTATCTCCCATTTATCTATTTACCTGCTGACTATGTGCACTCAAAATTCCAATGACATTGAGCATTCAAATAAATATGATCATTCCTAGGTTCAGATTGTGGTATTGCAATCATTTTTCTCAATGTGAGAATCTAGGGCTTCTTAAAGAAATGACTGATTCCAGGTTTAGTACAGGAAACTTATAAGGTGAAGTTGAAACAGATGAATATGTTTAATTGCACCATGTGGATGAAAGGAGCAAAACCCACATTATGGACAACTCTACAGTCAAAATACCTGAGTTCTTCAACAAGTAGATTGGAAGAAAGTGATTGGGCTGTACAGAGAAACTATAGATTAAAATAGACTTAAAACATACAGAATTACAAAATATGCAAGACTAGGCTATAATGTGTAACAATTCAAATTGGGATGATTAAACCATTCAGAAAGCAAGGCAGTAATTTTTTTTTTCTTTTTCTTTTTTAATTTTTTATTGGATTATAGGTTTTGGGGTACATGAGCAGAGCATGCAAGACAGTTGCGTAGGTACACACATGGCAGTGTGGCAAGGCAGTAATTATTTAAAGTTTGAGATTGTTGTTTTTGCTGATAATGTGAGCATTGCAATTGTAATGGAACACACAAATGGTTTTATGTGGCTGCTATCAAAATTCTGTTTCCTGATCTTGGTAGTGATTGCAATTATTATGAAGTGATTTACCTTGTGATAGTTATACATATTTTTAAGTGGTGTTTCTATCTTGACATTTGATATTAAAATCAAATAATTAAAATTTATATTGAGGTAGGTAAGAGGTTGCTGACACTCTGCACTCTCTAGAAATCAGAGCCTTAGGCAAAGATTAAGTGGTAACGGTTTATTTGGGGAAGGAAGCAATCCCAGTATAGCAAAAGTAAATGAAGTGAGACAGGAAGCATGGTAAACAAGGCAGTGTGATCAATTACCCTGCTGACCATTGTTTCCTGATGATTAGCCAATGACATGATTGTCTATATAGAAAGACCCTAAAATTCTACCAAAAAAAAAAACTTCCTGGAAATAGTAAGAGATTTAGCAAGGCTGAAAGAGATAAGGTCAATATGCAAAAGTCAATTGCTTTTTTATATACCTGCAATGAACAATTATAACTGAAATGTATAAACTAATATCATTTTTTACAGCACCCAAATAAATGAAGTACTTTGTATTAATCTAACAAAATAAGTTCAGGATATTATTAGAAATGTACAAATTACTGGTGAAATAAATCAAAGAAGCTCCAAATAATTGGAGAGATGTACCATACTCATGGATTGAAAGATTCAAAATTGTTAAGATGTTAATTCTTTACAATTTTGTTCTATGGATTTAGTGCAATTTGAATCAAATTCTAGCAAGCTTTTATGTAGATGTTGACAAAATAATTCTAAGATTTATAGAGAGGCAAAGGTAATAGAAAGGCCAAGATAATTTTGAAAAACAAAAAACAAAAACAGTCAGAAGACATGCCAGGAAGTCTTAATTTTAAGACTTCCTGTAATGTTACAATGATCAAGTCAGTGTGATATTAGAGAAATGATAGATACATAAATTAAGATAAGAGAATAGAGAGCCCAGAAATAGACCTAAGCCACTATCATTATTTTTAACAACATTGGAAAGGAAATTCAATAAAAAAGTTAACCTTTCTAAAAAACTAGTGCTGGAAGAGTTCAACATCTTTATGCAATAAAATGATTCCCAATATTTCACTTATATCTTACATAAAAATTAAATAAAATGACTTAAACATGTATGCAAAATTATGGAATGTCTAGGAGAAAAATCTATGTGACCTTGAGTTTGGTGGTTGGTTTTTACATAAAACACTAAAAACCCAATTAATGAAAGAAAAAAAAGAAAAATTGATCTCCGTCAAAACTGAAAACTTTTGCTCTACACAAGTCACTGTGAAGGCAAATAATCTGTAGAACAAACTCTCATTTCACAAGTTTACCTATGTAGCAAACCTGCACTTCTACCCTGAACTAAAAATAAAAGATTTTTTTTAAAAGATAAGGTACTGACTAAAAGCAAATATTTGAATATTTCATGTCTGATGAAAAACTTGTATCCAGAATAAACTGAATAAAAACATCTCTAGAAACTCAATAATAAGAAAAGAAACAGCTCAATAAAAAACTGTAGAAAAGATCTGAATGGATACATCCTAAAGAAAATACAAGGATGGCAAATTGACTTTTAAAAACATGCTGAACATAAATTGTCATTAGGAAACTACAGCAAAATACCACTATAATCCTATTTTAACAGCTAAAATAAAAAAATTGTCAGTTCCAAATGCTGGGAAAAATGTGGGGCATGAAGCAGCCTCATTTATTGCTGTCCTAGAAAAATGTTTGGACAACTTGGGAAGGCAGTTCAGATGTTTCTTATAAAGTTAGACAGACTTCCCATACAACCTAGCCATTGTACTTGCTAGGTATTTACCCAAGTGAAGTAAAAATTTAAATCCACACAAAACCCATGTATGAATGTTTACAGAAGATATATTTATACTTACCAGCAATTAGAAGCAATTAAAATGTCCTCAGTAGGTAAATTGATAACAAATTGTGATCCATTGAGCTAATAATTCACATAACAAAATGCATGAACCACAAATGTGTTTTGCTAAGTGAAAAGCTATAGCAAAAGACTCTGATATATGACTGAATTCTAATGACATTCTGTAACAAAGAAGAAACTAATAGGGAAAAAAGATAAGTGGATACTTCTGTCTTTGTGATAAACAAGAGGGCAGCATTTTACTAGGAAAGTACAGGGGGATTTTTGGGTGATAGAACTAATGTGTATGAGATTGTCAGATCCATTATGCATTTGTCAAACTCATAGCACTTTACTGCACAAAAAGTTAACTTTAACATATGCAAATTTAAAAATATCCAGAAAGAACTTGGTGACTCCTAAGATAGAATGCAGACTGACAAAAAATCTGTGTATGGTATAAGTTTACTGAAGAGGGTGGGGAATATGAACTGCCTTATACAACTTTGGAAAACAACGTTTTGACAGACAATGATAATACTAAAAGAAAAATAACAACATAATCTCTGCACTGTAATTGTTCAAATTGTTTCTTGTGGAAGAAAGGGTTACAAACAATCCTGAAGTTGCTGTAGGTGTATACTGGAGTTCAGTAAGAAAAAAAAGGATAGTAGATGATGAGAGCCTGGTTTCTTAGAAGAGAAGAGCTACAGAGATGCAGGGGAAGAAGAATACAATGTATCATGTGGTATTGGATTAGAATCAAAGACATCAACTTGAGCTCATGTTTAGCTTACTATAGATTCAGATAATATATATGGAAATTATTAAGGATATCTGTTAATGTGTGCTAATGTATAAACATGTATTCCCTATCTCTGTCTGTAATTACTTGTATACCCCTGTTGGGATCTTATTCTGTAGTAACATTGTTGAAAAAAATCAACCAGTGCTCTTTGAAGACATGGGTGATTCAGAGTCTGAGCAAGAAAGACTAAGATAAGGCCGAGGCATCTTGTAATGTTAAAAAGTATAGAAATACTCTTAAAAGCAAAAGGATGGGGCACATCAAAGGGATACAGGACCCAACCTGAAGGATGTCTTAGTCCCTGTGGGATGCTATAAAAGAATGCCATAGACTGTGTGGCTGATAAACAACATAAATTTTCTTCTTACAGCTCTTAAGGCTGGGAAGTTTAAAATCAAGGCATTAACAGATTTGGTATCTGGTGATAGCAGAAGATGCAAGTGAGGTCTCTGGGGTCTTTTAAATAGGGGCACTAATCACATTTATGAGGGCTCCATGCCATTACCTAATCACCTTGCTAAAGTCCCGCCTCCAAATATCATTGTGTTGGGCATTATGTTTCAATATCTGAATTTTTGGAGGAATATAAGCATTTACTTTACAGCAGCTCCTAATAGCCAAATCTAGAATTATTTGAGTAATAAATTTAATAACATAGTTTGGATTATAACCTATAGTATAAAATACTGATATTTAATAAATATGATATAAAGGATTGAATAAACAATAGAAACATTATTTTATTTCTCTTTTTCAGAATGGTTTTGGCTATTTTCTTACCACTACCTTTCCATATAAATATTAGAATTAGTTTGTAAATCATTACAAAACATCTTTTTGGGATTTTAATTGAGA